ACAAATACACACTCACACACACACACACACACACACACACACACACACACACACTTATTGCATTTGAAATGTGAATATATTGTAACTGTAAAATAATTTATTTCTGTGACCAAAGCTGAATTTTCAGCATCATTACTCCAGTCTTCAGTGTCACATGATCCTTCAGAAATCATAATAATATGATGATTTGCTGCTCAAGAAACATTTCTGATTATTATCAATGTTGAAAACTGCTGTGCTGCCGAATATTTTTTTGTAAAAATTGTCATACACTACCATTTAAAAGATTGGGATGAGCAAGATTTTAAAAAATTAATAATAATACTTTTATTCAGCAAGGATGCATTAAATTGATCCAAAGTGACGGTAAAGATAATGTTACCAAATATTTCAGTTTCAAATAAATGCTGTTCTTTTGAACTTTCTATGCATTAAAGAATCCTGAAAAACATAATCAGGGTTATCACAAAAATACTGATAATTTCAACATTGATAATAATAAGAACCATTATTAATAACTGAGCACCAATATTATTTGAGAATACCTGAGCAGCAAATCAGCATATTAGAATGATTTATGATCATGTGACACTGAATAATGATGCTGGAAATTCAGCTTTACATCAAAGCAATAAATTACACTTTAACATATATTCACATAGAAAACAACTATTTTAAATTGTAATAATATTTCACAATATTACTGTTTTTACTGTATTGTTCATCAAATAAATGCAGCCTTGGTGAGAAGAGACTTCTTTCAAAAACATTAAAAAATCGTAATTATTTCAAACTTTTGACTGGTAGTGTGTGCATGTGCTTAGGTGTATATCTGTATACAAGGCAAAAGCCCCACATAGGGATATGATATAAAAAAGTATATACTACAGATGGACTACAGATCAAGGCAAAAGCCCTAAAAACAAGGAGGAATCTTGGGTAATCCACTAACCTGTACACTGCTGATGCCGGTCCCGGCTTACTGGAGGCAGGAAACACATGGTGCAGATAGTCGCTCAGTAGCTTCTCATTCACAATACCTGAAAAATACACATCAACAAAACTGAGTTCTTCCTGTAGATTTGATCAATAACCCATTTACAGTGGGTTTACTTCAATAAAATCTCTTTATAAGGACACACCTGTGACTTTGGGTTTGTCCGTGTCAGATGCCAGGCGATAGCTGCGTCGGGACAGGGCAGTGCCACCCTTTGAGCTCATACTGCTACTAGACAGATCAATTATAAATTACATTATACATTTTAATTATAACAAAAAAAAAATCAGTGTTACAGCACTATAGATACAGTGCTAGAGGTCTAACATATTTATAGACCATGATATTTACCAGAGTAAATGATACATATATATCAAAGTAATATATCAAATAGTAATATATCAAAAACATGGTATGGTAGTCCAAAAATATTCACGGTAGGCCTGCTTTCTGAGATGATTATGTTATGACTCGGAGTTCAAGCTGTCAATAATAACAATACAGATAAATGCTGACAAGCAGACTAGAAATTATTTTGACCCTACATACCGGGAATCATTTTGACAACAGTCTTAAACTACAATAAAACCTTCAAACAACTTAAAATGTCAATGTTTACATGCTGTTGTCTGAGCAAACATATACAAACATACACACAATGTAAACATAGTCTTTCTTTAGCCACTATCCCGCTAACACTGTGGCATGAACAACATTAAGCATATGTTTATAACCGATATAAATATAATTTAATGACTGCCGGGGGTGTAAAATGCCCAACACATGTGCAAGAAAAAACATATTTAATGTGTTTCAGCCTCCGTGTTGAACACATATGACAGGCAGAGCTGCTATGATAACGCAAAATCTAGCATGCGCAAATAAAGCGACGCTAACTTAGCTTATTGTTTGGTTAATTTTTCCTGCAGTACTCACTGATTTGGTGTGCTGTGTTTATTTGTGATCAGCAGATTTTGTTGTTGGGCTCTCCTCTTTAAATGTGTCTACAGTCACTGCCTTTAACTACAGAAATGCAACAAGCGGCAGGATGGCCATGAATGAACGGGAGTGATCAAATGGGCGGGGCTTGGTGGCCCGAAGGCCGGCTCTCATTGGTCAGATACGATGGGTTTTTATAATAATTTTCTAATCTTATCTAGTCTCTGTCTGTTCTTGTGTCAGCATCATTTATATTTTCTAATGCCGTTATTTATGTGTAAATTATTGTCCGGGATGCTGCTACAAGTATTTCTGAGACGGTTGACACGCGCTTTTTAGGACGGACCAATCAGAGGCGTTTTACTTAAAACATCATAAAGAGTTCCGCAAGCGGTTTTGTACATCAAGCGTTTATATAATTCAGTGTACAACATTCTCCTATAACACGGAAAGATTTCAATAAGATTCTTCAGGGGAAGCGGCATTATGAGCCACGAAGAGCCCCCTGCTGGAAGCTAATTGTGTGACTCGTAGTAAACAGTTATTAGCCATTCTTTTAACACATACGATTCACGGCTATGGAGCGTGTTTTAGGACAACATACGCTTAGACATGAACGAATGCGAATCATAAAATCCATAAAAGACCACTGGGCGGCAAATGTTTTCGGATAACGTAACTGTTTCCTATGTGTTTATTCCTCTAGGGGACGCTCGGGGGATAAAAAAGCCGAATCCTCAGACGAATTTGTCTTATTTGGAAACATTTGTGTTAAAAACGTATATTGAGTTAAATCTATTAATCGTCCGTACCTGACATGCACATTAAAATTAGTTCCACTCTGCATTTGATTACATTTGGAAATCATTAATCACAAGAGACTGATTGGCCCACCGTCAACAGCGGTGAGAAAAGTAACAGTTGTCACATGACTCTTCACCAATCGATTAATTTAAAATGCACAATAAAATGTTATGGAAAATTATGACATTTGGACGTATCATATCTATAAAGTTAGCAACAATATCTAGAATGATAAGAACTGACCGCTTCAGATATTCATAACTGTAATAAACATGCATGCACATTACTAGCGACATTTCGCGGGCCAAAAAAAATCCATATTGTCAACAGTGTAGCTGTGTATGAAACGGCTTAAACATAAGTCAGTTTTAACCAAGCACCTTGCAAAATCTGTGAAGGAAAAATTTCGCCGAAGTCACGTGGACTGGATTTTGCTGGCGAAAAGTCAGTATAACAGTAGAGTAACAGTAGATGACACCCATTTGGCAGAAACAAAGGTTGAAAGGCATCGTTTTCACATCTAAAAATACTGCAAGTTATATTTTAGGTATAGTTTTAGCCTGTAGTAATTAGGGGTTCGAGCACGAAGTGCTGAAGCCCTATTGTAATTGTTAGGATTTTTATTATTATTATTATTATTATTATTATTTTTATTATTATTATTCTTCCCTAAAACTGATCGTGCAGCCCAAACCGTAAGGCCTAGAGAGCTGAAACATGGTCAAAAGGTAGTAGTCATGCTCGCTACTCAGGCGCAAAGAGCCGGCCCAATCGGCCAAATGGGGGCGCTACAGCACAAAAAACAAAATTTTCAGACATTTTTGGCCGTAGCTCGTACACCATTTGTCGTAGACTCAAACATTTTACATCGTTGCGATCCTTGCGTCATCCCGAACAAAAAATTTACACCTAAATTTCTCTACTTAACGTTAGCCAAAGGTTTTTTAGCTATAACTCTTGAACGGAATGAGATATCTTCACCAAACTCGGTACACATGTGTACAAGCTCAATCTTTGGTCAAATAACAAAAATTGCGCAGCTCTGCCACTTGGTGGCGCTATAATATGGAAAAACGTAAAAATGACTATAACCTCGCAAACGTTGGTCCGATCGGCTTGAAAATTGGTATGCAGTGTCTTTGTCCAATGTATGGTGCAGCTCTGCCACTTGGTGGCGCTATAAAATGTAAAAAAACATAAAAAACGACTATACGCAACCGTTGAGAAGGTATCTTCTCAAAACTGTGTAAATTGATGCATAATTTAATTTTAAACAAGCATGCAAAATTTAAGAGAGATTGTGCAAAAAATAACATTATAATAGTTATAAAGGTGTTACACAGTGTTGTATGAGAAATTGCATTTATAACCACTAGATGGCAGTGGAAGACCACTAATGGAATTAAACACATTGGCATTAAAAGGTTTGATGAATTCATGCTTAGACAGTATAAAATCACTGTTATAACATTTAAAATCACATTTACTCATAGTTAACCATTTTGTTCATACAGACATATTAGTTTTTACAATTATGCCAGATTATGATTAGTGAAACCTGAAAATGACATATAAACTCTTAAAAAAAGAGAAGACTTGCAATAAGTGTTGTCACCTATCATTTATTTCAAATATCTATATCTTCAACAAAATGTGTGTGCATGTATGCCTGTGTATGTGTGTGTGTCTCTGTGTCTGTGTGTTTAAGTATGCTTATTGAGTATTAATAAACAAGTTTAATCATTTCATTTCAGTGTGTGTTTGTGTGTCTGTGAGCATATTCTCCATTTTGGATGTGTTTTACTGTCAGCCATACATCCAGGTTGGTCTAGACCCTAAAATATACGTATGTTAAATGCCTCAAAGTGCTTGAACCCCGGTCATTGCTGCTTGCAGCTATATTTATAATTAGATTTATATAAGCGCAAGATATGTAGAAGTGTGTGGTAAATGTGAATGCATAACTCATTCAATTATATGTGACCCTGGAGCACAAAACCAGTCATAAGGGTCGATTTTTTTTTTATTTGAGATGTATACATAATCTGAAAGCTGAATAAATACGCTTTCCATTGATGTATGGTTTGTTAGGATAGGACAATATTTGGCTGAGATACAACTATTTGAAAATCTGGAATCTGAGGGTGCAAAAAAATCTAAATATTGAGAAAATCATCTTTAAAGTTGTCCAAATGAAGTTCTTAGCAATGCATATTACTAATCAAAAATTAAGTTTTAATATATTTACGGTAGGACATTTACAAAATATCTTCATGGAACACGATCTTTACTTAATATCCTAATGATTTTTGGCATAAAACAAAAATCGATAATTTTGACCCATACAGTGTATTGTTGGCTATTGCTACAAATATACCCCAGCGACTTAAGACTGGTTTTGTGCTCCAGGGTCACATATTGTTTAACACAATGATACACCATCAGTTAGAAAAAAATACTTTAATACATATTTAACAATGTAATGATTAGCAAAATTATTTTATAAACTTATCAATATAAATCTGAATTTTTACCAAACTGAGAATACAAAATTGGGTGAAAACAGTATTATTGTAACTAGTTCCGTCTAGTTGAGCTGCTGGTTTTAGAAACAAATCCTCTCAGTTAATGCCAGCCGTGAGGAAGTCTCTTCTCCTGGTCACTTCCTCCTCTCCGTATTTGGACTGAAGCTGCTCCAGTTCATATGGGTCAGCCAACAGGAGGATCTCATCATCTAGATGGGTCCAGACAGGCCCGTGAATCTCACGGTCGTACCCATCTAGCAGATACGCCTGAGCCCTAGCGAGGCCACCACTGGCTTTCCACAGTGCCTTGGTCACCTCAACCAGATCTTTCTTGGTCTTTGTCATCAAGTCCTCGACATGTTCTACCAAGTCGTTGGAGGGAGTTCCTCTCGTTTGGCTGTCGTGTTTGTCCTGTGATTCGGAGTCGAGGATGAAGACGTGGGATGACGATGCAGGGACAGCTGTGGAGCTAGGCCCTGGACGCTCTTCCTCAGGTGCTGGTGAGCGACAAAGAGCTCCTGGTGCTTCCTGTTGGGCGGCTTTGAGATGCTCAGCTTGAGTTTCTGGTTCCCCAGCTAATGCTGCAGATGATGCTGACCTTTCACGTGCGTCTGAGGGCTTCATGATTGGCACTTCTTCTACTTCTTCACTTTCATCCATCTGTGGAAACACATTCAAGTCAGTGACGTGTGCCTTGGAGGCTTCTCCACTAATTTTTTCATGAATTATTATTTCATAAATACCAACTTTTTAGTGAGTTTGTACCACATTACATTTTACAAACGGAACTAACTTTGCCACATAAATAGGTCAAATTATATGATATTTTCAGAAACTTATTTACAAATATTCATAAGGAGTCTGCAAGAGTTCTCTCTATGATATAATTGCATTGTCATTGTTTTTGTTCACACTACATGCCATTGATTTGGGCAGAAAAAAAAATGTTTTCACATACTTTTATATTTGAAATATTATAATTATGTTAAAACATATTAATATTTATAATATTAAAAAACCTTAAAATAGGGGTGCAACGGGTCCTAGCTGATCGGTGATCTGTATGGACCAGGGGTGCGTTTCCCAAAAGCAACTATTGTCGGAAGTTCTGTCGTTACCAATAGAGTTCAATGGAACTAACAACCATAGTTAGCTAATGATGCTTTTGGGAAACACACCCCAGGTCCCACGGTTCGGCACACGTGATACGTGGATTAACTGTTAAGTCTAACCATCATAGAGTGAAAGTTTATCATTTGCACGTGTTTTGTATTGCCAATTTACACATTCAAGCAATTTTAAACCATTCAAGCGAAAGAGAACTTGAATCAGGACTCGCACACTGTTTTCTGTGTGCCCA